AGACCCCCACCGCGAACTCTGCCTTACCCCGGGCCGTCCGCCCGAGATCCCTTCCGGGCCCTCCGCTGTGCTCCTGGGTTGTTAGTCCAAACCCGTGCTCCAGACCCCGTCCACCCACCCTGGTGGCCCTAGTTTTTTTGTTTTGGATGTTTGTTGGACTTTTTGGTGTTTTGGGACGTCTGGGATCCGTCCCTTGGGGGGGGCGCGATCTGTCTGTGTTGTGTTTTGTCTTGTCTAGATCTGTCTTTGGTTTTCTGTCTGCGTTGTGTTTTGTCTTGTTTAGATCTGTCTTTGGTTTCCTGTCTGTGTGTTCCCTCCTACCTGTTCCCTCCTACCTGTTTTCCTGATTGTGTTCACCTGGTGCCCCTGTGTTTTCTCCTCCCTCCTCACCTGTCTCTTGTTTCCTTGATTAGTCCTGTGTGTATTTTAGTTCTGGTTTTTCTGTCTGTCTTTGTTAGATCCTTGTTTGCCTGTGACTGTGTTCACGGGGTAGTGTTCTGTTTTGTCACCTAACCTTGAAATAAAGGTATTTTTCTTTTCAATCTGCATTTGGGTCCTGCCTGCTTCACTCACCCTAACAGTATGTGTTCTTTTTTGTTTTGTGTTACATGTGTAACCAATGTGCAGCAGGTCTCCCTTGTAAAAGAGATCGTTGATCTCAATGGGATTTTTATCTGGATAAATAAAGGCTACAAACAAACAATACTCATGCAGTTGTATTGTTCTGGATTCATATTGAAGTTTATTAGTTGTTCTGCACTGTTATTGTTATGTATTTAATATAAAGTGAAAAACCCATGACAAAAAGTCAGAAAAGAAAAGGGACTCACTTAAGGAAAAAGGTTCTAAACCAGAGTGTTCTTCATTTGCACATAAACATAATAACATATTTAAAGTTTTGACCAGATGGTGTCGCCCTCTGCACACATTTAACGCTCTGCATTTTATTTATTTATTTCACCTTTTATACCACACTGCAAGCCTGACATTTATTAATTATACGACTGGAAGTTACACTGCAGATTTAAACACTTATAAACACACCTCAAGTCTTTCACAGCCAGAAATATTTTTCTGTGTCACCTTGTTTATTATTTTTGCCTTTTTTAACAACATTTTCAAACTTTTCTCTTATAATGTCAGGCTTTTTTTTATGAAAAACAACTTCACTTTTTTCACGAAATATTCAAAACGTTTTTAAATATTGCAATTGTATGTTAAAAATTATTTGACAAGTGTAACCTTGTTTATTTATTTAGTCTTTTCTCCAAAAATAATCAAACTTTCATTTATTTATTTTTCCAATTGTATGCCTACATGTGCCTACAGTATGTGGTATTTCTACTTTTACGTCTTAGATTTTAAGATCTAAGTACTTCTTCCATCTCTTATTTCACCTTAAAATACACCTTACATTATGATTCTGCTGCAGCCTTAAAGGCGACACTGGGGGAGGCACAGCAAGAGGTAAAAAACATTTCCTTTCTGAGACACTCGTGGTTTCTTTTGTGTGACACCATCGAACATTTGTCATTTATTAAAAAAAAAGTCCCCACTACTGTTACATGAATCCTGGGGCCCTGCAGCTTTTACTGAATCAGCCTGGGAGGCATTTATACAGACACTATGAGAACAAGTATGAACATGGAAGTAAAGGCAGCATGAAGGGAGGTGTTTAGCTTAAAAAAAGAAGAAGAAGAAGAAGACAGATTAACACACAGGAAGTAGGAAGTGTGATCTGTTAGATACAGTAGCCACATTGTGTGTGTGTGTGTGTGTGTGTGTGTGTGTGTGTGTGCTCCGTTGGGGTTTATGTGTGAAATGAAATGCTGACCTCTGGTTTAAGTTAAGGACAATGTCTCTGAAACTCCGACGCAACTGGGACTTCAGCACCTTCAAGGCTGAGACAGCTCGCATAGGTAAGCCTGGTGATGCGTCCACTGACTCCACTGTGGGTGCAGCACTGTCACACTTCACTTTTTTGGCACTTCACACATGTTTCTTTATTATTCCTAATTTTGCATCACATAGATATTGTACAGAGGATTTTTTAAAACATGCTTAACAGTTTATTTGTAATGTTTTACAGCAGTGGATAGTAACTAAGAAAGTTTGCTCAATTACTGCACTTTAAGAACAATTTTTAGGTACTTTACTTGAGTATTTCCATTTCCTGCCACTATATACTTCTTGTTACCTACAATTTAGAGGCACATATTACACTTGTTGCATGTGAGTTCACGGTTTATGCAGCACTAATGAGTTACCATGATATTGGTGTTTCATTTTCTTTATTATTCATAATTTTCTATCAAACAGATTTATTACTGACGTTTTTTGTGGTTTCAATATATACTAAACAGTTGATGTTGTTGTTTTCTTAGAGTGGTGGACAGTTTCATGTAACTTGAGTATTTCCATTTCCTGTTACGTTATACTTCTTCTTCTTCACTGCAATTCAGAGCCATATATTACACTTTGTACTTCACAATGTCTTTAGTTGCTTTGAAGATTTAGATTAATACAAAATATATTCAAACAATAATGTTTTACTAAATAAATTAAAACGTTATTGATCCCTCTGTGAAATGTTAGCTAACCGGCAGCATTATATAAGTGAAAACCTGCAGCATCAAAGTGATGAACACATTATAATGTAAAAATACAATGTACATTTTTCGGAAATGTGAAAAATAAGTAGTTTATTTTTGTACTTTAATTATGCTGTTATTCAGTAACCATAATGTGGATGAATATAAAATAGGTGTTTTGTTTAAAGAAAATCGTATTATAAGGTACTAAATCTCTGGTTTTTTGAGCATGTTGGTGGTTGCTTACCATGTGGTGATTGTAACCAGTGTGTTAACGGAGGCTTTCACTTTACATAAATCTCTGTCTTCCAAAATAGAATGAACAGTTTCTATATTAAAACATATCTTGACGTTCAAAAGGTTAAAGCAATGCATCACTTAAAAAAGAATATGTATATGACGATTCCTCACCGTGTGTTACCTTGAAATGTTGAAGAAATCTCCTTGGTGTTTTTAAGAATGAAGAAACTGAGAAAATTATTGTGAATTTAAGTAAATGGGAGCAGTTTTTTAAACCAATGCCAACACATCTATTTACAAACTCTCACTCAACCCATGCAGTAAAATCAAAGTCTCATTTGGTCAATCTTGCGTTAACAAGCATGACTTTTCAATAAAAATGTTTGAAACACTTCAAAAGTATAGTGCATGCACAAGTGTGAAACTGTTAAGGTGTCAGCGAAAGTGCATCTGTTTGAAAGTGAGTGATAGGACTGGATAAATAAGACTTTGAATTAGATTAAACAGATGTTTTGATAGTTTAGCTGTTGTTCAACGAGGTCCCTGTTAAGTTCCATTCATCAAGATTTCTCTTTAAGAATTCAATGACACACAGGGTTACTAATGGATACATAAATGATATTTTTTGAGCTGACGTGTCCCTTTTAGAGTACTTCCCTAAATCACCTTTACATAACAATTTAGTAGTGCAGTGGTTGATATGCATACGATGTGCAGTCGATACTATATATACAGTAAGTGTCTCTACAGATGTCTAGACTTCATAAAGCCATGCTTGTTTGCGTAGGGCGGCATCAGTGCAACGCGCCTGGTTTCCTCTCTCAGGCTCAGAGCACACAGCAGTTGCATCATTTAATAAAAGATGGTTGCCCATAAGTAGTGGCTGGATAAATATTCTTTCATGCAGTCCTGTCTTTGTACACTACCTGCATCATTTTCTCTGTAATCATTTTCACAATCAGTGGTATTTCAGCACTGTGGAAGGAAGTTGCTGCATGTACTATATATTTTTGATCTGCTCCATGTTGACTGACTATCAGGTGCTATTATGACCATGCTCTTAATTTAGTATGAAAGCATGACTTCCTGGAAAGCGGGCGACCCCCCTCCTGTTTTTTTGTTTGCCTTGACATGATTTGTTGACCCTAACTGTGACTGATTTTATTCTTTGAAGCTGCAGTGACGCAGGTTTTCAACAGGAAACTGATGCAAGAGCTCAGTTTCTGCAGAACTTTGTCTGTGTGTAACTGTGCCTCCATATATGTGATTATGTGTGTATGATGTGAGTGTGTGTATGATGTGTGCACAGTCATCCTTATGTTAGGATTTCGAAAGCACAAGCACACGTCTGTCAGTGTACAGGAATACTTGTTTAGTTTTTATGTATTTTAGCTTTTTTAACTTTTATAAACTCAAACACACATATAAAGATTTGAGAAATATCAATAACAAGTAATTACATTTAAAATAGTAACGTAATAAAGGACATCTATTTGAAGGTGTGTGCTGCACTATACTTTACTACAACAACTACTACTACTATTACTACTGCTGCTGTTGCTGCTGGAATAATATTACATTTACCCTCTTGAATTTAATGTCTGTCATTGAATGTAGACACTGATAAGGAAAAGAAAAAGCAGATTAAATGTGTTTATTATACATCCCCAAAAAATAGGAAATAAAAAAAGGCAGTCCATGTGTTTACCAAACTGATGTTCACAAAAAATAAAATAAAAGTCACGTAAATCAATTAAAGTAAATAAAGAAAAATAAAGAACATTTTATTTAATTAAAAACATTTACAAGTAAAAGAAAATACAAGATTAATAAAAAAAATAACAATAATAATAATATAAAAAAAGAAAACATTAAATTAAAAAAAATAGATAATAATAGTAATAAACTTTATTTATATAGCACCTTTCTTGCAAGATGCAGCCTAAATTGATGTACAGGAAACAAACAGAGTTATATCACAGAAGCATGTGATGACATATGTATCCATTTATTTTGTAAATCAGACGTTTCCAATAGGGCTATAAGGGCCTCGGTGCCTCAGTATTACACACTAACAATATTGTGCTTGATTTATGAAATCCCGCCCTGTACGCCCAACTTTACAAGGGAATTTATAACCATGAAATCTAATGAAATTTCACATTTCTTAAGTTTTATGAAAAGCCTCCACTCTATGAATATGTAACTCTTCTGTCCTGAGTCTTGCATTTTAAGTCCTGTTAATAGCAGTCCCTGAACACATCTTTGTGGTGCTGTTGAGGCCCGTTTAAAGGAGTTGTGGGTGTGGTGTGAAATCTCTCTCTACGTGTGAGCTTCAGGGTTCCTCAACAGCCTTTTAACTTTCCACTACTCAGGGGAGGTGACGCTATTAAAATGAGACCAAAGGTCCCTCAGAGCTCTAGGTGGAGGCCTTCAAAGTGCGGCCGGCCATCCGGCGTTGATGTGGCAGCTTCCTGTTTCCCCCGGAGCGGCCCTTCTTCTTCTCTTCTCCTCTGTCATCTTGAGTAACAAGACACGGTGAATTTAAGAACAACTGAGCGAGTGGGCTGAATCATGATCAAGATATCTGTGTGGTCCTCAGTCCTGCGTGTGACTCTGTCTCTCTGAGCCACGTAGACCTCCGCCTTTCATCCCTCCATTAAAGCATCAGGGTCAATCTCAAATAAACTGAAGGGGGACAAGTGTCCACGAAGAGTGACCTTAAAAAACTCTAATCCTAAACATTTATATTTCTGGGCCTGTATTTAGAGGGAACTCTGGGCATAACTGACTATAATATCCATATATTTGTATTCGTGTATGGTCACCAGAGGCTAAGGGGTTGTTGTTGTTGCTTTCGTTTGCGTAGACATATAGAGCAGGTCCTCTTCCATGTTGCACCATGTTGAAAGTATTATTTCCCCCCAGATAACAACAAAGTGTTAGCTCTAACCTTTTGCAACTTTGTTTTCTTTCAATACACAACAATAATCATGCATTTGAAACAGTGGCCATAACATGTTTTTAAGAGACAGTGGCTGCACTGCCACTAAATTCCACACTGTGCAGTGTGAACTTTTAATCTCTGACCTTTCAGCATTTTATTGTTTGATGCTCAGTCTCTTGCAGACCACAGTGTTATTTCTGTTGAACAATCACAGCTGTATTCACGAACCTAGCACAGGAAAGTGGTCCACTCCTTTCAGCATGAAACCGTAAAGGTGGGTGAAAAAAATAATCTACAGCGCGCCGGTCTCTGAAACCTGATAGGCTGAAGCAGCCTCACTTCAGAAAAGAGGAAGTGCTTAGCTCCAGTTGAGCTGAGCGCTGATGTTTTGGTGTCGTTTCACAACACGCTGGCGATTGTTGTTCATGACACTTTTACCAACAGCTCTCTTGTGGTGTTTGGCAGCGCGATCCAGGAGTGTGACACCTGGAGAGGGAGGCCCAATACTGGGCTCCCCTAACTCCCCCAGGTCCATGGAGAGGCCCCTGAAGGCCGGCTGGCTGAAGAAGCAGCAGAGGTCTCTGGTGAAGAACTGGCAGCAGCGGTACTTTGTGCTGAGAGGAAGCACGCTGACCTACCACAAAGATGACAAGGAGACCACTGTGCAGGTGAGAATGAAGTCTATCTACAAAAACTGATATTCCAAAGTTTGAAAAGCTGAATTGCTTTTTTTATTTGGCACATAACACGATTTATTTGTAGGGTTAGGACTTTGTTAAAGACATTTCAACATCTTTATTACAATTGCTTTACATTCAGTGATGTGAAGATATAGAAAGTGCTAACCAGCATCATCTAAAGACACGTATTTAGTCCTCTAATGTTAGCACTTTTTGTCTTAAACATCAATATTATTTATAGACTATACATTTATAAAAAATGTGTCCTCAATAATTTCCATTCAACACCACAACCACTCTGCTGCCGTTTGCACACTTCCTGTACACAAAACAAACCCTCACAAGGTCTGCTTTTTTAAACTCTTTTATCTTATCATGTCATCAACCAAAATCTCTCAACAAAAAATGTTAATTTTTTCTTTACAAGTTGTGCAAAATGTTGACAAACTTTTAAGAAGGTGAAGCAAAGACAAACACTTGTTTCAGACTATTTCCCCTCTTTAATGGCCGTTGTTAGCGTTAGATATTTGTCAGATATCTGCTTCACTTACTTTTGGTTTAGAAAACCATCATAATTTATTTACATGGTTACTGCAGTCATAGTAAATATGACCTATGCAAAGGATAAAGTCTGCTGAAGTATGTCACATCTGAAACCAAATTCCTACGTAAGCAAATTGCCGTCACACATGTAATTTACGCCACGTTATTTGACGTTCAACAACAAAAATAGGCATCCTTATTTTTAACCAAACACATATCCTTTTCCTAGAATTTACCACACACTCTGACCACCTGAAGCGAAAGATTAGGAAACTGAAAACCTTTCACATTGTTGGATATGCAACTTCTCTCCTACTGGTGGGTGCAGTTTGCCCTTCTTGCAGCAATAGTACTAGCTAAAACAAAAAAGGTACAAATATTACATGTTTAAACCTCGAATAGACTAGTCCGACTTGCAAAGATTGCAAAACAAAACCCCTAAATCTGTAGACATACAGTAATACGATTTTGGTATCGGACGCACTTTGATTTCCCTACACTAGATGTTGTATTACACGTCCATTGTTGCATCTCAAGTTGCTAATTAGACTGTGAACAATGAGCAGTGCATGGAAAAGAAAGTGGTAGTTCATATTGGCAACACCAAAAACTCCAAAATATCTCTTGTTGACTCAAGATTGCAAAACCCCTACAAAAGGTAGCATGGTCAAATTATAAACCATATACATTTAAGAAGGCCTACCAAAATCCTCAGATGTAGTTCCTGTCTAGAGATGAGTGATAGTGAAACAGGAAGCCAGAAAAGCATCCTGGAAAACATGTTGAATAAAAAAATCGTAAACCCATGCAGGGACAATAATTAGTCATGTCCACTTTGGTCCTGTTTCTAAACAGAAATAAGGGTGTGGGGCAGTAGGGGGATAAAGAGGAAATAGGCTTCATAATGTGAAAAGGGAAATATACAGTATACAATGAATGTGCTGTAATTTAAACTGGGTATAGAGCACCAAAGTCATTATGAATTAGACTTGAGTCACTGTTTTGATGACCTTCAACATTACGTGATATCGAATAAATGACTACACACTTGGTAGTATTCCAATGTTTAAGAGTAATGGGGAGCGGATTTGTTGTTCATTTTTTATATTTATTCCACTGAATATCAAACAATTACATGAGATGTCATTCTTTGTGAACAGGTTAGATATTTTGGCTATTCATAAAACTATATAAAGGTATACCATGTGCTTTGTCTTTAAAAAGACCAGAATCTGCAAGTAAGCCTGCAAAGACGAGCAATATGAGTTGCCTCTGGATAATCTAGAAATTATAAAATATGATGTGGACCCTAATGGTAATGGATAAGCAGTTAGGATGGTCATGCATTTTTAAGTTTTGTAAACCAGCAAAAGCACAATGGTGTCACAATGAAAGAAACTGCTATACATGCAGGGAAAATACCTGCTGACATGGACTCTGATAACTCTGACAAATGAAAACTAACTCATATTAGTGGTTGGTTGTTAACTTCTCTTTTGAACATTTCACTAACGTAGTGTGTGTTCTCCAGGGAGTCATCCAGCTGCGGTTCAGTAAAGTTAATGAACTCCCTGCGAACCCTGATGACCCCGGGAAGTACATCTTCGAAATCATCCCACGTAAGCATGAAATCAACCTTTGAAAAAGATCATAACAGACTTTAAGATGCATTGTCTAGAGAGGGACCTCTATGCCTTGTGCCGTTGTCTTATTGTGGCATTACAGCAGAGACACATCCACGTGTATTATGTCATTAAGCATTAAGGATGTGTTTCTGTAATTAATTAAAAAGGTCTTATTGATGCTCACAACTACTTATATAGAGAATCAGAATACAAATTCCTTTATCCGTCCCGTCAGAAGGACATTTACATTGTTACAGCGAAATATAGAGAGAGACTAAGAAAATAGGTTGAAAAATGGGGCTTATAATACTTCATGACTACAAATACTCACCTCAACAATTAACTGCAGTAAAGACTCATAGTATGCTATAATAGTACATATGTTAACATAATGATAGTCTGAATTTGGTTTATTTCCAAAAAGGTTTTCACAAAAATGACATACATAAACACAGTAAGATTAATAGTAATAAATATAATAAAAAACATTAAGAACATTAAAAGGAAAGAAATATAATCTGAATTTGAAGACGGAGATCTGTTCAGATAACGATTACTTTTGTTCAGAAATGTGCAAAATTGGCAGAGGTGGATGAAGAACTTAGATGTTGTACTTAAGTAAAAATGCGACCATCCTGTATACTAAATCTTACATGAGTAAAAGTTAAAAAAAAGTATAGGCATCAAATTTGATTTGAAGTACTTATTGTGCGTCGTGTCCCATTTCAGAATCATAAATATTTATTGACTGGATTATTATTATTCATGCATTAACGTGTTCATCACTGCTGGTGAAGGTTAAGCTAATTTAATTACTTTATATACTGCTGCTCGATATCTTAAACTGAAATTATATATAATAGTTTATGTGTTAGTTTATTTATATTTTGTATAAACAAGTAATCCTAATATGTAAAGTAACTAGTAACACATCTTTTGGAATAAAAAGTACAATATGTCTAGGCTTCTAAAATGTAGTAGAGTAGCATGAAATATAAATACTTCAGTAAAGTACAAGTACCCAAACATCGTACTTACAGGTGGGGCATGTAATTTTGGAGAAACCAGCTCGAGTGCGTTAGAATTTGAAAATACACAGCCGGAACAAATCTGCCACTTCCTCACAGAGCCCCTCCTCCAACACACACAAACGCGCACATGACCAATGAGGGCACGAGATAAGTTTGTGCACAGATGGAAGGCTGACAGGCAGGTAGGCCATCCAGTTGCTTTAGCCTGGCCGGCTCAGATGATTGGTCGTGCTTTTTACAGTACACTACGGCTTCCACAGATGACATTTTTTTAATGGATTTTTTGTCAAAACACTTCGGATATTCATTGCTATCGGGATGTTAAGAGCATTCCATGGAATATAACAAAAAGTGTATCTCGAGCCGGTTTCTCAAACTTACCTACCCCACCTTTAAAGTACTGTACTTGAGTAAATCTACTTAATTACACCACTGAAAATTGGCTAGGGACATTTAAAAAGTATGAGTAAGTATAAGTAGGAGGAAGAGTTTGTAGTGAACAAAGTCACAAAATTGTGCTTTAATATAACATGTGGTGTGAATGGGAAGAGAAGGTATCAATGCATGTGTTAGTGTTATATATAAGACATTGAATTAGCACAACAACCACTTATGATGCAGCATAGGTTATTTTAACCGCATGAAAATGCCTTACTTAAGACCAACACACAAAACGTTATGATCAGCATTCAATACGATAGTCATACATTTTTACTTCAACAGATACAATTATAACTTATGTTACGTTTATAGTTTACTGTAAGACTGCAGCTGTTTATGAGCATTATAAATACATAAAAATTAACTTTGAATGCCCTCGTAATACACGTATAGTCTTCATAGAAATGTCCACTAAAGCTTGATTTGTATACCATCATTACTATAAATAATTACATGACATGTCTGTTTCTTGTGTCTGACAGCATGACTCTGCACTTTACCTGCGTAATGGAAAGTCAGAAACGACCACAAACTGATAACAATCTAGATCTTCTCTGAAAATCTTTATATAGATTACTGACAGGCGTGTGTGTGCCCGCTTTTTTGCTGTACTAAGATGCCATTTTCTAAAAGCAACCATGATTTCCCAGGTACGTCAGGAGACAGAGAGCGATGTCCCTATGTGTTCATGGCTAACTCTCAGAGTGATCTGGAGGAGTGGGTCCGCACCCTGCGCCGGGTCATTGGAGTACCAACAAGTGGAGGTTCAGTAAAAATGTATATTGTTATGCAAAACGCTGGAACTTTCTTTAGTCACAAGACTTTACCGTAAATGTAAGGATTATTTGGATATTTTCCTAAATTAGTGATGGATTTATTTGTTTTTGTTGCCTGGAGGTAAATGAGGAGATCGTTACCACTGCACAACAATGTGTAGCTGGAGTTAACAGCTGGAAACAGGGAATTACCCTGCTTTATAGCACCTCTTAGCTAAGCTCAGGATCAAAAAGGAAAGCCAGGAAGTCACTATCTCTGGCAAGAAATGGTCCAGCTCACGACCCCCCACAAAACCATGACGTTTAAAACGTGTTATGTAGAGATGAAACAAATATCATACGTCATTTGAATGAATACGCTTTAGCGATGCTTCTATGGGTCTAAATCTATTGTTACCTTGGTACACAGCTATGCTAGACATATCCGGTCTTTATGCTAAGCTACCGTAAAATTAGGAGTTAGGCATGATGGCTGTATCTTTAAGTAAATAAATACAAATAACTTCACTCTGGAAAATAAAGTGCACTTTTAGCCATTTAAAGGCACTGTTCTGTAGCAAACTCCTTCCTAATAATTAAGTATATCGTCTTCAAATGTTGTCAGCACTTTTTGAGTTGTTAAGTTGTACAGTACACTTTTGGAACTTTCGTGACTGAACGTCGGCGTTTTTGCCATGAAACAAGAAGCACATGTGAAATCTAGAATATTTTAAGAATATCTACATCTTTCAGATCAATCTCAAATTTGAAGGTGTAAAACGTTTTCTAATCTCATAATTTAAGTAGTCTAAGATGTAACTTAATACCCCTTTGCAGTGTTTGGAAAGGGCCTCATGGACATTGTCACATATGAGCAGCGATTTGGGCCTCACATGGTGCCGATCCTGGTCCAGAAGTGTGTGGAGTACATCAAGGAACACGGCCTGAATGAGGAGGGCATCTTCCGCCTGCCGGGTCAAGACAACGCAGTCAAACAGTTCAGAGACGCCTTTGACGCCGGAGAGAGGCCCTCCTTCCCCAGGTAAGAACAGACTGAATACAAAGATGTTGGACCATTTTGCTTCCATAATGTGTCTTCTTTGAGGCTAGTGGGAAGAACATCCACATGTGGGTGTTTATTTCACTAACTTAGTCTATTTGTGTCTTAGATACTACCTTAATTCACCAACAGTTGAAATAATAATGAGTTAAATAATGCCTAATTTGCATTTTTAAACATAAAGTAAAACTTAAAATACAAAAAGATTCTGTTTGTATATCAGTAATGACCTGGGGAAGTTTCATGGTGGTATCTATACAGTAGGTCACATATTGACCCTACTTTCCTGTAGTGTGTACAACATGAATTAATTTAACAATACCTATCGTCAAAGGCCGTTTTCTCAAACTGAGGTTGTTCTCATCCTTTTTCACCAGATATCTCCACTTCAGTAGAACAGACATACACCATACACCTTTGAAGTTTAATTTTCATCTATCTTCTGAAGGTTTTTACAAAGTGCTTTGTTCACATTTCACTCAGAGCCTGACTTATATAAAATGTTTTCCTTAATACATGTCGTAAATAGTGTTTTCAGACTCATGACCGTCATTTATGATTCATGGAGTGGTTAAAATGGATGGTTCACATTTGTGTTATAGAAATGAATGCATATTACCAGATATTTAATAAGATAATGCCTCATTTGCATATTTAAACATATAATTTCAGTATTTGTATAACAAAAAATAATGCCTTAGTAGTTAACTGACAAAGTAACATGGTGTTATATTAGTTAATCATTTAAAACATTTTAAGATTTCCACCTCAATATAACATTATTTGTATTATTGGAAGCCCCTAACCTTTACTGATATACACAAGTATATTTCAGTCGTGAATATATATTGTGTAGCATTTACTATATTTGTAATAGGGTTATTTGAGTTATGAAACAAACAGGAAATACTCAGCATAAAGTGGTTATCTTAAAACACTTGAAAGGGCACAATTTAAAGCGATCTTTAAAGCAGGTTGGCACATTTATGAGTTAAAAAGGTCATTACTATATAAGGAGAAAAAGTTCTAACCTCAATCGATCAGCATCAGCTTTTTTTTTCTTCTGAGAACACAAGGAGAGATGAGAGATGCAGAGCGTCTGATCTGAAGGCGACACCACATCCTGTTCAGTCACGCAGGAGGAAGCCTGTGTTACTCAACTTCTCAGAGAAAAGTTCATTAAAACATTCAAGCTTACATGTTTGTCTGCAATCTAGTATGAGCGCAGTCAAAAAGGCTGATGAAAGATCGTCAAACTGCAGGCCATAAATCTAACAGTGAACACAAGGTTAGGCGTTTTCCCCTCAAACTTTACTCTTGGAGCCCAAACAATGAAATTGAATCCATGCCTGTTGCTTAAGCCAAATATACAAAACTAAGCCAAGAGATCAGAAATGTCAAGAACTTCACAATCCTGGAGGACTTTGTAAAGACCGTGGATTGTACAACAACCCCATGTAAATGTTTACAAATCTGGTCAAGCAGGGAAAATAACTCTTAAACATGTTATATTTAAACGTTTAACGTAACATTCCCACATCAAAATGTATACATGTTAATGTTATATTTGTTTAGTTGTGTACTTACATTAACCCAATTGTTTCCCAAAATGTATAAACACAGAGACATGTGTAATTTTAACCAAAGTAAATGTGCTTTTCATTTGGTCTCCTTTAGGGGCATCATTTCCCCCTTTGAGTCTTGTTGCCTGCGAGAGGCTTTCATCAACTGACTTTTGACCCAGTTTTAAGACACATTTTTAACAAACACTTTTTAGATCTTAGCGTTTTTTGCCTCTACTTTTAACAGCATGAAATATTCTAGTCTTCTGACATCTGGACCATGAGGCTTTAGAGAAGCTGGGCTAATGTTAGCAGCACCCACATGGCATTGGAGAAACCCTTATTTTTACAGTAACATTTGATTCAGCTGGCTCATAGGTTTTGGACAGGCCTCTGTGGATAATTAGACTAGGTTAGGTCTTGTGAAGCTGAGAGAACGTTAGCGGTAGCTGGCAGGCAGCCCTTCCTCCCCACAGTGTGTCTGCCAAACTGCCCTGGAGAAACAGATTTTCACACAAAACTACTATTCATTTGAATTTGTATTGGTTTTACCCCGTGGGGCTGTTTATTTTTAAGAGTAGAGTAGACTTCAGATAATAATTTGGTTCACATTCTGAATGATTAAAGGACCCTTTACAGGAGAGCCTATCTGCAGTGACGACAATGATGGCAAAGACCGCAACTTCCAATGGCTTTAGGCCCCGGCCACACGAGGACGAAAACGGTCGTTTGCGTTACTGTTTAGTGTCATATAGACCGTTCGGCCACACGAGGACGACCGAATATGACAGTAAACAACTGCGGAAACGATAACGGGTCCCAAGGTGGATAGAAACGGCATACGCAACGCTCTGGGGGGTCCAACGGCTCCGTGTGTGCGCCCTATACGATCATTTTCTGATAATGATGACACAATAGCCCCGCCTCTCCCCACCTCTGCTGCTCACCCCCGCGTCAAAGTAAACTGCACACTGAATTCAGATTATTTCTCTTTCTCTCGATATGGACATAAATGCGAGTGAAGTCTAATCTGACAGGACGGAGACACGCAGCTCTGCTCACCTGCAGCTCCTCCCGCTGTGATGCAGCGGTGAACGGAGCAAAACACACACTTCAAGTCAGATCATCACCCTTAGCTATTTTAATTACCTCTCAATCTACCTAAACTAGTTATACATTTGTTTATTTTTACTGCCGGGTCACTCATTAGCCTACTGGATCAGCTGCTGCTTGAGACAGACACTGACGCTGTCCGAAGAGAGGGAGGAAAAAGAGAGGCTCCGTGTATTTTTATTATTATATTATATAGAGTCGTTATTCATTTGTTTTTAAAGCTCAATAAATAGCAAAGAAGATCTTTGACTGGCACTTTTATAATTTTGTCCGGAAGATTAAAACTTTAATACACGTTGACTGGCGAAAAACTCTGCCCGGTTCCCAAACACTAGATGACTCACCCGCGCTGCTGGCCAATGGAGACCGACGTTGCCACTTGGCCGCCATCTTGCTACAGGCAGTTCTCTCATTCATAACATTATGGTTTACTATTTAAATAACCATAGCTTGCTCAATTTTCAAACAATTTTCAAACGTTTTGGTTTTTTATAAACATCAAAGATGTAGTTATGATACTGCATACTTATAATCATGGACTTTCATATGAAAATAACATTAATCAGATAAAGCAATAGCTATACACACACACACAAGGTATTTATATTAAATATTTGCCGGTGTATATATTTCCATTTATTTTATTATATTGTTAATATTT